GGTCAAGGGCATGTACCTGGGTTGCGGGCACATCCCCAGTGGGAGATGTGCAGGAGGCAGCTGATCGATGTTTCTCTCTCATCGATGTTTCTGGCTCTCTATCTCTCTCCCTTCCTCTCTGTAAAAAATCAATAAAATATATTTTAAAAAAAAAAAAAAAGAGAGAGACAAGAGATGAAAAGGAATGGGAAGTCAAGAAAGAAATGAAGGGGAAGGAACAGAGAGATTAAGAAAAGAGGAGGGTGGGAGGAAAATATCCAAGACTTGCATGAGCAGATAGTACTGCAGTGGCCAAAAGGACAGAGAGCTATGCTTCCTTCATTTCCTTTTCCCTCCTCAACGCCCCGACTAGTGGAACAGAAATTATGCTCCCCTGACACAGCCACTGGGAAAACGTTCTGATAATTGAGCAGGCCCCCAAAAGCTGAGGATTCATTTCAGTCAGGAGGTGCCCGCACAGGAACAGTATGAGAGAGCAGGCGTTCCCCATCACAGTGCTTCCTCAGACTTTGCCCAGCCTGGCTGCACAGCAGAAAACACTCATCCTCTCCTGAAGCTCTTCCACTTCACTAGCCAAATGCTTCAAACAGAGGGCAAGATGCCTGGTTCTCTCCACAACCACAGTCAGAGGACGGGCAGCTTCTTAAGAGCTGCTACAAGCTGGGTAAGTGATGGCCGAAGCGGCTCCTCCTGGTACAAGTCTGCACACATCAGAAAGTAAGATCACACCTCCAAGCAGGAAAACAAGCACATACCTCATTCGTGGTACACCAGACCTTCTTGTAAACTTCGGCCACAGGAAGGTCCAAACTAATGATTTTATTGTTCACGAGAAGCTGAACAGAGAAGTAGATGAGGCTGTTATTCCAGGTAATTGTAAGGCAAGTCAATTTCAAGATCAAAGGGCACTTTATAGCAATGGTTCCTAATTCATAACTTTTATGTGTTGACGATCGACTCTCCCTCTCTAAAATATGCACATGTGTGCACAACACAAAATTTTATGTACAATTTCTTGGGTTGCAAACACCCTTAACCCAAACCATGGAATTCTGAGCTAAAAACCCCTCCTGAAGACCTTCAGGCTCAGCACCAGAAAAAGCCATGTTCTCTATTTCACCCAACCTGCTTTCACTATGTATATATTAACACCAGACCCCAAGAGGCTATCTACCAGAAGGTGCCAGAATCAGAGCCAGGAATCTGCACCAGAGCTCACGTGCCAGTGTTCAGGGAGATTAACTGGGAATCACTGGGAAGCCTCTGCCAGAGCAACAAGAATACTAAACGTCTATCCCAGACAAGTGACAGCCACTAATCCTTTGCTTACCTCATGCCAGGCCTGGGGCAGAGCCCTTTACAGGTAATTAACCTTTACATCAGGTAAGTGGGAATCATTGGCCCCCGTTTATAGATGAGAAAGCTGAAGCAAGCTAGCTGTCCAACGTTAACCAGCTACTAAAGGGAGGAACTTGGATCTCATGTCAGCCCACGATCTTAGCCATGGCAGCTCTGTCCCATGCTTGTTACCTCCATCCCACTGTCATCCTCCAGGAGAGCCACCAAGTCACAGTCCTGGCAAATCTTGTTCTTTATATCCCTCATAAGTGGCCCGATGCCTGGCTCGTTGCTGCTGTACGGGTTGCCAGGCATCCTGCCCTGTAAGAAGTCTTCTTGTTGGGGGTCCTTCTCCAGGGTCACAAAGAACTCAGTGACTTCATTTTCCTCCTAAAGGGCAGAGAGAAGGAGGCATCAGAAGGGACGGGATAAAGATATGTGTAGAGGGATGGCAGCAGCCTTTTAGGTTTATACCATACTGCCTAGAGTGTTCCATGAACACTCTAAGGGAAACACACCAGACTCATCCAGTTCCCTACACATTTAAAAATATAAAAAACAGGAAGCTCGGGGTGATTCCAAAAATCCAAATATAATTCAAACAGTCATAAATATCAAGCATCTCCTCTGAAACGCAAGGGTGGGCTAGGAGAGAAACCTAAATAAGCAGGTGAGGAGTGACATGAAAGCTGTGTTACTGAAATGAGAAAGAGGGGGCTTTCCCCCGCCTGCTAGTCTCATGTGATGCTGACCGATTTGGGGCCAGTGACTCTGTTACTGGTGGCCCTCGAGTCAAGATAAGGGTCTCCTTTATATTATAGAGCATCAGGCATGCCCACTCCCAATGACCTCTCATCAATCACTGAGGATACTGGTGTTTTTCATCCTTTCTCGATAACAAGAGAGGATCTTTGGGTCACACTATGCTTCTCCACAGCTCAGGCCAGGGAACAAATATTCATGCATGTGTACTCAAAACGGGGGAAGAGGGTAGTGAACATTTCTTTATACTCCAGCTCAATATTGTTCTTTCACAGCATATCGGATTGATATGCAGTGTGAGGTTAGACCTAGTTTTTTTTAAAAGGCTGATCTTACCTTATATCTAGGAAATAAAATCAAGGAAGGTCTTTCAAGGAAGGATTTTCTATCATCAAGATCAGGAAAATTATGGGGTTTTATGTCAGTGGTGGTTTCTAAAATGTTAACTAGATGGCCCACAGCCGGTAAGATTGCCCATGACTACAATGGATCACCCAGAGGTTGCACGGCAGAAAGGCTCATGCAGACGCCCCGAGGCCCTGGGAAGTACCACTGCTTACGGGATAAATGATGCTGCAGAGCCTCTCAAAGATGAAGACAGGAGTCCGGTAGTCATCCAGATTGTAGCGCTTGGCTGTCTCAATGCACACAGCCATGAAGGCCTTGGTTTCTGATTCTGTACCTGCCAGAAATCAAAACAGTCAAGTCAGTTAGGGAAAGCAATTCACACACAGAAACCAGGATGATGTTTTAAATGAAGTATCACCAGGATGATGTTTTAAATGAAGTATCATCAGTGACAGAGTCTTTCTGCCTGGTAAGTTTTTAAATGCCCTACATGGCAATATCAACAGTTCAACTGGAAACTTGAAACTGATTTTTATTCTCACACCACATTCTGTTTGAAAGCCTTAATACCCAAGCCAACACCATACATCATGATCAGTTGTGTCCATGTCTTCCTTTCAGAATTATAACCTCGCATTGCTTGACCAATATAGGTACCCCAAAATGTCAAATATTTGACATTTTAACATGATCCTACTGTATTTCAGTCAAATCAAAGGGAAGTTATAAGCTTCATTCTAAATGATTAGTTGGATTGCCTTCTATAAGCCAAAGACATACTTTCAAGTCATACAAAGAAGAAATACCTGTTGAAAAGAGTCCAAGTGACAAGGCCACAAATGAGCCAAGCATGGCATAATGAAATGGCAACAGAAGGACCTCCGTGTCTGGTAATATAGCAGACTATGTTCCCTGATCTACTCCCCACTTCTCACCACTTAAAAATAACTTAAAATATTGAATAAGAAGTTATCAGTGAACTGCCACACTAGCAAAGAATAAAAGGCCAAAATCTAAGAGAAATCAGGAACCCAGGAAAGTTAGCAAAATACTGAGGTTGCTTTTGCCTTGAACTTCAGTTTCCATAACCTGCCAAGATCTGAGAGCCGGATACAAAGCCCCAGATCTGCCAGGGTGGAAAGTCTAGCAGGAATGCCCTGCGCACACATAAATCTGGTGCCATAAAAGAGCTATACCTTGGTTTAAGGTTCAACTAGAAATGTCTCGCCTTTTCTCCCAGGCAAATAACTGACAGAAAATTGTCTTCCCTTAAAATGTGTCATTGAGTAGAGGAAGGAAAAAAAATCTCTGCCAATTCAGCCATTCAAAGGTTTGTGACTCACACTACCTCAGAGGTCTGAAAACCCAAAGTTTAGAACTTCACTGAAGGCAGCCCTGGGATGGCAGTGCCCTGAGATGCCTCACAGAAGCAGTTACAAATACTCTCTTAAAAAAAAAAAATTCTTAGACTCCAGTCTTGAAGAATTTCCACAGACAAATCCTCAAACCACAGTAAATAAGTAAATAAATAATCATAAAATACAAAAACGTTTAAGGTACCATAAGAGCCAAAGTAACACACAGACAAATCAGATCAATAAATATTTCAAATTTTAAAATTATCAGGCACAGAAATATGTTTGATGTGTTGAAAGAGTATAAAAGGGATGGGAAATGTCAATAAAAAGCTGGAAGGTTATAAAATCTACATAGAACTGTAAGAACACGCTGGGTAGATTAAAAAGGTAGCATAGAGTATAGAAAAAAATTAATAAATTGAACAATAGAATAGAGAAAATCATCCAAAATCAGCATAAAGACATGGGGAGGTAAACACTATGAAAGAGAGGGGAAGAAATATGGATGACAGAGTGAGGGAGTTCCCAGGGACCAGGGATAATGGCTAAGGATTTTCCATAACCAATGAAAGACACTAACTTGAGAAGCTTCGGGCTATTTCTGCTCTAAGAACAATATAAAAAGTCCAAATTGACTGAGCCCAGCTCTGGAATTTTACAACTCCAAGAACCAGTCTTCTCTTGAGAGAAGTTTCTCCTCCTTCTCTACTTGAATGCATGGACATGTTTGTACCCCTCCTCTGGCTCTGCAGAACTCAGGGAAATCAGACTAATGTGCCCAGGCAGACCCAGAAAGGACATGGGGGTCTTGGGCTCCAGGCCCCTGGCAGTGCTACCTGTGGTCATGTCCTCCAGCATCTCCAGCAGCATATCCTGGGTCTCATCGATCAGCTTGGTCCTCTGCACCACCAGCTTTCGCAGGCACAGGTATCCATTCAGCACAGTACCCACCAAGCGACTTTTGAAGTGCCTCTTGATGGACTCCACCTCGACAAACGAGGAAAGAAGGCCTGTGGAGACAGGAAAAAGTTGTTGCAAAAGCTCTGAATGAGAATATAAGCAAGGAAGATCAGTGTCTTCAAAAGATAATGAGCAACTCAAAAGCAGAAAAAAACTATCTTTGTGGTTGGCACAGAGCAGGTGCTCAAGGAGTGTACTAGTCAATAGAGAACAGGAGCTCAAAACGGTAAACCCATAGATGAAGAGAAAAATGCAGAGCTTAAATGTGCATATGGTCAACCTCAGCACCCAAGGAACTAAGGGTCAGTCCCCAAACTGCACCCAGGGTGCCCTAAAGGAAAGGTCTGGAGGCTTTCTCTACCTGTGAGACTCTTGAGGGCATAGCCCTGCTGCAGATCAGTGCTCAGGGTTGCCTCCTCCAGGGCCAGCAAGCGGGCTATTTCCTAAACAGGACGATAAGCACAGTTAGTGTGACAGCACTGCCAACACTCGTCGCCTCCACCACCAGTCCAGAGCTTTCAGCATCAACCAAAGACACTCCGTAGTCACCACTGTTTTATTCCAATGATCCCTCAAGCTGAATCTTTGCAAAACTCCTTTCCAAGAAGCCAAGGGCAATCGCATTGATGTTAAGGGATTGCTTAAACATTGAGAAGAGCCTGAGTGCCCCCAAGGGAAAAAGCTCTCCTGGCTGCAGGAAGGGGTACCTTGGTGATGAGGTTGCCCACATAGGGCAGGACTCCCCGTGCTGCCAGGTAGACTTTCCAGTGAGCGGAAGTGATGAGCTTCTGGTAGAGAGCCAAGTACTCGGCGGCACACTCGCCAGCTACGCTCAGTTCGTCCAGGTAACTGCCATGGAGACAGACGGGGCACTGAGAAAACGCAAACAGCTCCAACAGTCAACTAGTCCCTCATGCTCCTGCCATCTTTCTAGTCTTCTGCTGTCCTTCGCTCCCTCTTCCTTCCAGGTCGGAGGAAAGGCCCCTGAGAAAACCCAAACTTCCCACTTGGGAAAACCCAGAGCACACAACAGGGAACGGGATACAATAAACTATACTCATCTTAAACAAGCACCAAAATATGAATAGGGATTACTTGGGCAGCGAAACTATTTTTGACTGAATCACTTAATGGGCAAGTATACAATAATTTCAATAATGAAGGCTTTGAAATTAGACTGCCTGAACTCAAAGGCTGCCCTCTGGTGGAAAAGTTAATTAACCCCTTTAAGCCCAGGTTGCTTCGAAGATAAATGCGACGATGCATGCCAAGCTTTCTCTATGTGCTCATAAGCTGGTGCTGGTGCTCTATTACTACTACTACCACTAAAACTCAGCTTTTTAATACTGTTTTGTTTCTGTGGTCTTAGGTGTGCCTCTCATCACGCCTACCTATGGATTCCCCTGGGAAAGCAGAAAAGGCAGATGAAGTCTGACCACTCTCCCCATCCCACCCTCAAATAGTACCTGGTGAGGAGGTCAAGGACCTGTTGCTTGCGGCTGGGAATGGTGGCTAGAGCTTCCACAATGGTACAGGCTGCCTGCCGTGCTGCCTGCGTCGCTGGAGTAAAGAGCACCTGCAGGGCCCAAGAGGAAAGCCTGGCTCAGATGACAGCCTCTCGCCAGGCCCCCAGCAGGGCAGTCAACTACCACCCATCACGAGAAGTCATCTGGGCACCTTCCAGGAAAAGGTTAAAGGCAAAAATCACCCGCTAACATGAGATCTGACTGCCAGACTGGGAAAGAGGCTGCTAAGGAGCCTTCTTCTTCATGGAGATTTTCTCCATCAAGTAATTTGGAGAATAGACCTAAGATGACCGAACTGGGAAAAAGACAAGCAGGTATTTTCCCTAGTAAACACTCCTATAATTCTATTTCGAGAACACCTCTATGTCAAGTATTTTTCATTTTACATATTAATAGACATTAGCTAGGAAGAAGAGGGAGAGGTCAGCAGAAGATATGAAAGATGGAAGGAGAAAGGGGACGGTGGGCGCTGCGGCTCTGTCTATTAAGTGATCAGGGAGGGAGCAGAAAGCAGGACGAGCTTGAAGAGAAGGGCAGAGAAATTCTTCTCTGGCCAGTAGTGGCTGCAACCAAGACCCTCAACCCACTCCCTATTTGAAAGGCAAATTGTGACTTAAGGTAATTATAAAAATAATGTTGGCCGCAGATTCCTTTACAAGAAAGCAAAGAGAAAGAACAGAAGCAGAGTAAATGTGGGAAGGTGCTCAGATCTGGGGCCGGGCAGCGGGGCGGGGTCACTCACTTGCCGGAGCCAGTTGTTGTGGCCCAGTTTGAGATCCAAGGGGGAGGTCCTCTTTCCCCGACGACTCAGGAACTGCTTCCACCTCCACACGTACTTCTCGGTCAGATAGAGATGGTGGAGCTCCGATTTGCTTGGGGACTTCCCATTGCTATCTACCCCTGGAAGGCAAAAGGGTAAGGGACGGGGGGGGGGGGGGGG